TTGGTTCTCTGGCTTTCATTTCACTTTTTTGGTTCTTTTTTAAATGGTACAAGGTATTCATTTCTTTCTTCTTATGAGAAAGGCACTCCGCTACTATTCCATCAATAAAATAGGAGCTGGTCCATCAGCAAAGCTTTTCAACGGAAAAACATGCATAAAGAAGGTCATATATAGTGCAATAACCCTGCAAATTGCAAATTCTGGGTCCACAAACACAATCTAACCGAAGTTTTACAAAAAAAGGATATTATATAATACAAGCCATAACAGCTCAATTCAACAAAAAAGCAAACCAACCATTGACACAGTGGCCCATCCTCAACAACAGAATTACATAAAGAATGGCCAAACACATTTCAAGGGTATGTTCATTTAACAATACATGGGTAACTGCTAGAAAAATGATGAAAAATTTAAAGGTGATTTGCAAATTAGAACCCAAAAAAATAAAAAATAGAAAAGATGAAAAAAAAACCTTCAATACATGATGAACTCCTATACCTGCAAGTTATGTTCAGTGCACCAAGCTGGATCATAATCAGCACAATCCCAATTTTCATATATTCGAAGCAAATGGATGTGATCACCCCAGTACGAGCCAGATGGAAGTTTTAAAGGTTGTTTCCTCTTCTTGTCCTTAATGCTGCAAATTTAACTCAACATTATCCCTGGATATGGCACTCAATATCGTCAAGAAATGACCTATGTGCATCATGTAATGATAATAAATAATGAAGTACAAACATGACAAGACACGACACTGATTCCCCAGATTGTTACAAAAAAATCACAATAACAAAAGTACACGTGTTGATCAAATAAACTACCGAATTAGAGTCCATCTATCGATCCCATAAAAAAACTTATCTACTTTCTAAGATACAAAGTTCTAGTTTACTGGACCATTAAGTCTAATTTGATTAGTTTAGATTTGCATAAGGCGAAAGGTTCTAAGATCCTAATGCAAAAATAAGAAAAAAGAACCAAGTTACATTAAGATTTTTCAAAGGTAAAAGGTTCAAACACTTATGAAACTAGTAGTAAATCACTGAAGTTTTTCCAATGAGTTTCACACGTTGACAATCAGAGACTAGCCCTTCTTAGCCTATGTCTGTAATAATAAGTGTTGGAAACCCGTGTTACAAATACGGGGGCTCAAGAATGTAAAGTTTTCCAAAAACCTCCTAGTCCGCTATCTAGATTGCGTTCTCTTATTACCAATATGTTTATTCCATTAGGTGAAAATATGTTAACCTGTTTGTTCTAATAGTTAATGGTTAGGAGTCATATATCACACAATGTTTTAACTTTTTAATAGGTTAGATTAAAATAAATTACAATAAAAAAGTTAACACATCAACATGAAATTCGTAGCACAAAAAATATTTCTAGGAAAATCTTATGGATCAAAACATCGATTCAACATGTCTTAGATAACAGGCGTATAAAAATGATTTAGCTATTATACAGGAACGAAAACACATAGTTTCATTGAAAACATTAGAGAAAATAGCATAAGTACATAAAAATTAAACAAAGTCAATCGCTCTTGCAATACTCTGCAATCTTCTACCGTACAAAGCAAGCATTCTATCGATCTCTCTAGTACAAGTGCACACAAATCACTCCCTCACAAGCTCTCCAAACTCTCAAATAATAATCCTAGAAAATCCCTCCAAGGGAATGATTAGAGAAAACCCAAATGTTTGCATTGAAATCGTCTAAACTAAGAGAAGAGAAGCTTCCCACAACCAACGAGATTCCCAATTGACCTCCCTATTAGTTTTATATAGTTTGAGACTGAATTACCTACAATTTCTTGCCAAATTTGCTCTTAGAAAGAACCTGTTGTAGATACGCCGACCCCGGCTTAAGTATGCCGACGTCGTCTTAGGTACGCCGACCCCAGCGGGATGATGCTAGGAAACATGCTATGATAAAGTCTAGCATAACTATTCCACCTTCTCAATTATATTAAAGTTTTTTTTTTTTTTTTAGCTGCTACGTAGTTGCGCCAATGGGCAGTGTAGATATGTCGACCCTCTTATTTTGTACAACATTGTATTTTAGCTTACCGACGCGTGCTCGACACCATTAACCTGTAAAACATAGCAAAAAACACTTTTTACAAGCGTAAAATCATCGACTTAGTAGTTTCTTCATAGAAAATAATTCTAGTAAATGAAGTGGTGCACCACCCATTTTTAAAGAATATATAGGCCACTATTATTATTGTTCAAAACTTCAAATTTATATAGATGATAATTTATTTGAAAGCTCAAATGAATCATTATGCCATGAGTACTCTTTAATAATGAGTAAGAAAATTGAAATTAGTATGACTGGAAAATTAAACTTCTTTCTTAGACTTTTAAAATAACAAAAGAATAATACCATTACATGACAAATTAAATACACAACTGACTTAATTGAATGATATGATTAAAGAAATTTAAATCTAGTAAGCATGCGTCAAAGCACTAAATTAGACTTTGATGAATAAGGAAAGTTCGTACATATAAATTTTATAAGGCATGATTGGTTCCCTTTTACAACTTATTATGAGCACTAAATTAGACTAACATTATGTTTATTTTATGTTTGTATGATCTTTTCCAAGTCAACCTTATGGAATGTCATTTAACTACCATCAAGCATATAATTCAAAATTTGATGGGCACATCTAGATTAATTTTGTGGTATCTTATAAAATTCATCGTCATGTGATAGTACTTTCTTAATGTTAAATAACCTGAATGTAAGGTACATTGAAAAAACTCTTTTGGCGCGTGTCAATTTTTTGGAATCATCCATTATATCTTGGTTCTCTTAGAAACAAAATTAAATTACTTTATCTACTGAAGAATTGGATACATAGTTGTAAGCAGTCATGTCGCTCAAGTTTTAAAGTTAAAACAACTTGGAAATTGTGGACCGAAGTTATAACACATAACAATTAAACATGATAATATTAATGCTATAAGTTTAACAAAAAAATATGAATCAACACTCACGCACTAAACATCTTGAGATCAGATATCACTTTATTAAAGGTCATGTCAAAAAGAATGTGATTAATATTGAATTTGTTCAAAATGAATTGTAGTTAGTTGATAATTTTACTAAATCCTTAGATAAAAATTAGTTTTGTAACTTATGGTATTCTAATTTGTGAGTATATCGATTAATTAGCTTCATTATATTTATATTCATAACATGAATTTATCATTATTTTCATATGCTTTCAAAAAGAAGATAAAAAGTATGTTAGGCAGTTAAATATTTGATTAATATTTTTTTTTCTTTCATAGGCATACATTAAGGGAGGAAACAATTATACGTAAAGTATGGTCACTTTGTACAAAGTTTATCGTCGTCAAAAACTATGAACTCAACATTTTCTCTCCAAACTCACAGCTTTCCCTCACGCCCCTCAGTGCTGCACGTGCTCCTGTTTGTTTGATTCCATCCTTTGCCAACGCACCCCCAGCATAGACCCGACTCAATTTCCTTTCTCCTGCTCATTAGCTTGTTTGTATTAGTATGTCGCACGTATATTGTTCCTGTTTGAAACCCATTCCTCTCCCACTCGTGGAATGTCACTCGAGGTTGCCCCACCTAATACTCGTATTTGTTGCTCTGGTTCTCTTTGTTCTATGGAAGTTGAAGCTCTCTTCATTTTATGGAATAAGAAACCATTTGAGTCCTCCCACTTTGTCTACCTCATTTACACTCTTCTCGCACCAGGGTTTCATCCCCTCTATCTCCACCCCTTAATATTGAACCAACATGCATCAAATTCTTCTCTTCTTTTTTTTTTCTTTTTTTGTGTGATAGGTTTCCATAATTTTCTTGATCTTTTTAATTTATTCATTTCGAGAATTATTTAGATAGAATTCCCTTCAAATATTTGTTGATTTTGCTCATCATTGAGAAAAGACCTAAAAGTAAATTTTTTTGGAGTTGAGAGGGCATTTAACAAGAATCCCTCTAAATCATCCTTGGGCACATAACTAGAATTATTTTTCTACAGTTTGCTTCTAATGAATTTTCTTCTATCGTGGCTTGTTTGATCATGGTCATCACTAAGAAAGGAGTCTAAGGTCTATTCATTTTGGAGTTTTAGAAAGTATTTAACCGACAATAACCCAATTGATTACTATATTCTAATGCCTAAACTCATCATTTAAAACATGAATTAGTGTTTTTCTTAAAAGCTAAAAACTTGTAATTAAGAATGAATCCTTTCAATTGCATTTATGGATAAGTGAGCCTATAAATCGGGTAGGCTTGACATGATTTTTTCGATTAAAAGTAATTTCAAATGGCCAAAAAATAAAATACAAACATGATACATGTCCATGATTAAGAATGTAGGTCACAAACATGCATTGGTTATGACAACAAAATATTATTATAATTTTAAAAAAGTTGGCATAAAATAAAATTAAAAAAATATAATAAATCTTTAATTATTCATAAATTAAGAAAATCAAATATATTAAGATCAATAAACAAAAAATAGTCATATTAGTGTCAGGTGAAGAAATTTAATTATTATGTCATTACAAATTTTATAAAAATGAAATATTATGAAAAAATTAAAAGAAAATAAAATTAGTGGAAAATACGATTACGATAATTATTGTAATTTTAAAAAAACATAATATAAATGTTTTAATTTAAGTTATTTGTGTAATATACATTGAAAATTAAAAGTTATTATTTAGGGCAAATGTGTAAAAAAGGCATGTTAGCTAACTCTTTATCATCTTAAATTGAAACATAAATGACATATTATCGCGACCCAGCCTGGGGCTTATAATTATTAAATACAGGAACAGAAAGTCAAACAATAAAACTAGTATTACATTTATTTTTCACAAATTATCATTGCTTCAAGTTTATAAAAAAATCACTAAGAACCCACAAAGTATAGTAAACATAAAATCAAATCATCCAAAAACAATAACTAACTACAAGAAAATTATAAGAAACTAACCCACAACAAATTATCACTACCCAAAAATAAACAATACAATAACTACAATCATAATACACAATATATTACACATTTGTATTACTCCTGTAAATCATCTTTTGTTTGTCAGTCATATCAATCTAATGTTTTCTTAAAAGCAACATTTAATTGTCAAGAATAAGTTACATAACTTTGCGAGAAATTAAAAAAAAAGTTTATGCATTAAATTAGTATGCAAATATTATACATAAATGTCCCACGAAAATACAATTTATTGATAAATTAAACTTTAAGTTTTCAATTTTAATTTAACCATTCTCGTTTCAATTTAAATATTTATCATTTTTAACCCTTTTAACAAGTCAAATCAGGATTTTCGTCATACATGAAGGCCCATGGGCACCCTTAATATTTTGCACCCAAAGATACACATTAATATTTTTTTTTCGTGCACGGATACATCGCATCCCCTGCGAGTATTATGTAAGGGTAATCATAAATGACTTGAACTTTTACATTTTATTTTTTTTAATTACCTCCTAAGAAAATTGAACAATCATTTTTCCTTTTTAACATTGCATTTCATTTTATTTCCTTTAATTACCACTTTTTAAAGTAATTGAATAATGGTTTTCCCTTAATATCATTTCATTTCATTTATT